GTCTAGTTAAGAAAATAGTTTTTCAAAAGGTAATCTAGATCCCAACACTTTCTTGAGTGCTTCCTTCACATCCTTGTTCCGGAGGCTATAGATGAGGGGGTTGAGCATGGGAATCACTACAGTGTAGAACACCGTGGCCACCTTGTCAGTATCCACGCTGTTGCCAGAACTGGGCCGGCAGTAAGTGAAAAGGATTGTTCCGTGGAAGACAAGGATGGCGGTGAGGTGGGAGGCACAGGTGGAAAAGGCTTTGCGCCTTCCCTCGGCAGAGTGCATCCTCAGGATGGTGATGAGAATTAGCAAGTAGGAGGTGAGGATGATCACGATGGTGGTGATCTCATTGAAGGTGGCCACGATGTACAGCAGCAGTTCATTCATAGTGACATCAGAGCAAGCAAGGGACAAGAGAGGGGGCAGATCGCAGAAGAAGTGGTCAATCACATTTGATGTGTAGGATGGGATCTCCAGAGCTAAACACAAGTGGATCAGAGAACACACCATCCCACACAGGTAGCAACAAGACACCAGCTCCACACAGAGATTCCGGGACATGGTGACCGTGTACAACAGTGGGTTGCAGATGGCCACGAAGCGGTCATAGGCCATCACAGCCAAAAGGAAGACCTCAGTGATTGCATAGGCACAAAAGAAATAGAATTGCACCATGCATCCCAGGAAGGAGATGGCTTTGTCCTCGTTTAAGGTACTAGTTAGCATCTTTGGCACGATGACGGTGGAGTAGCAAAAGTCCACAAAGGACAAGTGGCTGAGGAAAAAGTACATGGGAGTGTGAAGGTGACAGCTGACCTGAATCACTGCCATCATGCCCAGGTTGCCCAGCACTGTGACTCCATAGATGAGAAGGAACACAGAGAAGAGGACGACTCTCAATTCAGGGGCTTCTGCAAATCCGAGGAGAATGAACTCAGTCACACCGGAGCAGTTTCCCTTGCCCATGTTCCCATTTGATTGAGGTTGGAGAAAAATATTCATAGTTATCCTCCATTGTGTGATCCCAGATTCATTTTTTGGCTGTCTCTTAAAAAAAAAGACATGAAAACGCGTAAGAGAGTTAAGTTTTTCCGCAAAGAATTAGGACATGGCTTTTGTGAAGTTTAGGAAAAGTGCAGGCATTGTGGAAAGATGCGTAAGGTCACACATTAATTCACAGATCACACAAAAACATCCACATCCATCACAGCATATGATTCCTTAAGTGAGTCCTACATAATTTACAGCTTGACACTGAATCATTAGAAAGACCTCAAACATAATTAGCCACATTGTGTTATGAAACTCAAATCCCTTTTTCCTGGCAGACTGTTTAATGAGTACTGAATCTAGTGAGATCTCAGAAAATAATGTTTTAAAATATACCACGTCCTTCCCTGTTTTCCACTGAAATGTTGAGAAGCATGTCTGTTGAAAGTTGTTAACCCACAAGTGTTGATTTTTTACCCATATGTTTAGATGTTTAGCTTTTACACTCCATGCTCACATTTTTTCTGTAAATTAACACAGTGATTTTCTTAATTTTGTTGTTCAGTGTAAGCGTTTGACTCAATTTTGGCTCAGGTCATTATCTTACCATTGTGAGATTGAGCCCCGCATCCTGCACTGGTCTGAGCAGGGAGCCTGCCTGCGAGTCTCTCTCTCCCTCTCTCTGCCCCTTCTCTGCTCGCGCTCCCTCTGTGTCTCTCAATATAAACAAATAAACAAACAAACAAAAGAGAAAGTGAGTGATTCCAACATTTGTATGAGAAACCACTTCCAAACATATTAGTTGAAAGCAACAACTGTTAATTGAATAGGTCACTGTTGCGTAAGTCTGTAAGATAGTACTGCAGATCTGATCATGACATGATTGATCTTGGCTTGGTCTGCTTATGTATATGATACGAGCTTGGCAGTTTAGGTGATCTAAGAGGACTTCACACCCATGTAGGGCACTTGGCTAGATGTCAGATCATATGCTGGAGGTAAGGGTGACAGGCTGTGCCTGTTAACACGGCACCTTTCCTGAGAGATTGTGAAAATCCCCAAGGTTATGAAAAAGCCATGTTGCCTCTCAGAGGCTTAAAACTTGAACAACGTCATTGCAACTACTCTCCGTTAGCCAAAGCTACTCAGAAAAGCAGACTACCCTCCAGGAGTGGGGAAACTGACTCCACCATGTAATCAGAAGAGCTGCACGGTGGCATAGACACCAGAGGACTGGAGAATTTTGGCTATGTTTGCAATCTACCAGACTGGGTAAACAAACCCTGTTGAGAGAATTAATTCCCAAAATTTTGTCCTTCAATAAAATCGGAGAAACTCAGTATAAATTTTGTTTAATGCGTTATTTTTTAAATTTCTGATAAAAAGTCATTGTGAGGAACTGGCACATAACTTGGGTGAGTTGAAAGATTTGAGTGACCTTACTAATACAGCACAATTTCTGACACAGTTTCTAGTCTCATTTACTCTTAACATGACCAAAAAGTCTCAGTATTTTCTTTTTAAGAAGTAGAAATAGAGATGATGCTTAACCCTCTTGCTTTCTAGCATTAAGTGATATCTTTCCATGGATACATTTAATTAACTGAAATAAAAAATCCAAATATATACTCATGATATTTCTCATGAAAATAAATATTTGCAAACACATTTCTTTCAATTTTGGGCAATTGTATTTTATCAAAATTTGCAAATGCAATTATGTTTTTGATTAGTGATGCAATTATTATTTTTTTTATTTTTTTTAACGTTTATTTATTTTTGAGACAGAGAGAGACAGAGCATGAACAGGGGAGGGGCAAAGAGAGAGGGAGACACAGAATGTGAAACAGGCTCCAGGCTCTGAGCTGTCAGCACAGAGCCCGACGCGGGGCTCGAACTCACGGACCGTGAGATAATGACCTGAGCCAAAGTCGGACGCTTAACCGACCGAGCCACCCAGGCGCCCCCAATTATTATTGTATTATTACAAGGTTAATTTAATCTATGAAAAAGAACTTTCAATATTGCCAAGAGCAATATTAATCCAAGAGATTAAAAGTATGAATGTCATTTATAAAATTATAATATTCAATGGATTGGGGTAACATTGAACATGAGTTGAGGAAGAAGAGTGACACAAATCTGCTTTCAGATGTTCTTATTTATGTAATTTTAATGAATTATGCCACACAACAGAAATCACACTTTTTGTGCTATTTAAATTTATGATGAAATATTTTGGATGCAGACTTAAATTCTTTCCAAAACTGAGATGCACACAACCAAAAAATTTGGAGGCTAATATGTCATGTTCTATATAGAAGCAACAGAATCTGTCATAATGAATTTGAAATGTGGCAACTTGAAATGAAAGACAACACAAGATTGTCCACTAGAGTTTACTAGAAGATATGTCTGGAGTCTTAACCAATTGCTTTCATTTCTGTCAACAATTGCTTTTACAACCTTGGCCGGGTCACTTACGTGTTACGGGCTTTGGTTTCCTCAGAGTAAGAGCGAAATGGTTGGTGTTACTTTTACCCCAAAATGATCGTCCTTTGTCCAAGCAGAACAGAAGTAAAATAAGAGTCTCTCTAAAGAGGAATTACCCTTTTTTGATTCAAAGTAAAGAATTCCTAATTCAATATAAATATTTCAAAAATAATTCAATGTAAATAATTTCCTAAATTTTGTGGAAAATTAGGATTGTATAAGTGCACGTAAATTGTATTAATTTATGAATAATGAGTTAATTTATTGTATAAGTGTATAAGTGAGTAAAGGAGAAAAGGCTTAACTAGAGATTGATCCAGAATGGGCTTATGGAAAGAAAGGTGCCAAAATTCCACCCAATGCAAAACGCATTTTTGAAGCGGAATTCGCGGATATTGACTGAAATAGCAAAGTTTCAGGTATGAAGACATCAGCAACAATAAAACATGGCCTTGAAGAAATGTATGTAAGTAATTGGAGCTGGATACTATTGGAAAGGAAGACTCAACTGGAAAATTGAAGAATGAAGATATTGTTTACCTGCTTCCCAACCTGTAATATATGTAATCCGTTATAATTCCCTAAAGTTTGAAATATTTTCCTACAGCTGTGTAAAATATTGGTTAAAGAGGACTGACTATCCTTTCACCTCATGTTGTACACTAAAAGGACCAAAAGAAAGTGAAAGATAAATTTGTGGATATGCAGAGAAACCGAAGTCAATAGAAGAGAAATGCATTCCTTCCTCAGACATTCATTTCTAAAACACTGTTTCTTAGATTGTATCTTTCCATGAAAATGGTTATTTAAGTGATTCCTTATTTTATGATGTATATAAATAGAACATTTTAATAATGATCATAAGTTCAAAATAATATGCACATTTCAAGTAACTTTATTGAGCCCATATAAAATTGTTCTCCCTACCAGAATACCAGGAAATTTATGTTTTTCAATATAGTAATAATTTATTTGCAATTTTAACTATCTATATTGAGTGGAGAGAAAGAGAAGCACGTGCAAGGTATTTAAGTAAACTGTGTTATTAATATTATAGAAATCTGGTGTTTTAAATTTGCCCGATTAAGTAGGCCTTGATGCTAATTAGTATTTTTATTTTTATTGTATTTTGACTAAAGTATATAAACAATTAGTTTTGAAAACTTTTTTTTTTAAGGTAGAAGTTTAGTTGAGAAGGATTCAAAGATTATGCTCATGTTTAGGAAAATAATTAATAAAGTTTTCATAATGTTTTTGACATCTTCATAGGCAGAATAATAGTATGAAACATAGGATGGGCAGGAACTCATTATGCTTATTTTTTGCATATAAGATATTCTGAAATCCAGGGGCTCCTGGGTGGATTGTCAGTTGAGCATCCAACTCTTGATTTTGACTAAGGTCATGATTCCAAGATTGTGGGACTTGGCCCTACATCAGGCTCTGTGCTAAGCATAGAACCTGCTTAAGATTCTCTCTCTCTCTTGCTCTCTTTCTCCCTCTGCCCTTCACTCTCTCTTTCCTCTAAAAAAATAAATAAAGAGAGTTTGTGAAATCCAGTCTAACATCTTTAAGCCTTTGGTGGAGCCTATGGTAGCTTATTAAACTGCCACAATGGAGCTCCTTTGAAAACACATTCAGGATATAGACCATGTCTTATCAACTTTCCACTCATGCCCAGTAACCTATACACACAATGCAACACACGCACGCACACACACGCACACACACACACACACACACACACACACTGCAACACACACACGTTATATAGTAATCATTCAATAAAACGTTTGTTTGATAAGTGACTCAGTATTGCATTCTGACCTCCCTGATTTTGTAATGCTTTGCTCTTCTGAATAAAACTCATATGTTGTGTCCTGAAACTCTGTTCATCTTGTTATCCAAAGCCAAGTTCAAACAACACCTAGTTTTTGGAGGGGTTATTCAGAGTCCCCAAGGAACTTTAACTTTTCTTTCATTTAAACACTTGGTGGTACTTTTCATTCCCACTTTATACAAAGGCCACTTTCTTCACTGCCTTGCTGTTAACACTGGGTTTTACGTTGCACAGAAAGGAATGCTATGTCCCATTTTAACTGCTACTTTTACTTTTAGGAGATAAATTCATATGTTTATTGAGAGCCTAGTCTACTCCAGGTATGTTACAAGAAAAGAAAATGAAATTAATGTTTATTGATATTATACAAAGTATCCACATAATATTTATATTACCTTTTAGACCTCACAATCAGATTAGGAGCTAATTTATGTTACTTCATTTTTGTGGATTAAAAACCAAAGATGAGGGGGATTGCTGACTTTTTTTTCCAGTAAGCAAGAGAGAGCATCAAGGTCAGTCTCTCTGAATAAAAATCTGCATTCTTTTAATTGTACATCAACTCTTCATTATTTTTAAATGTATCTTTATAATCAACCTTTATGGGTACACGATTTATATTTCAGGGCCAAACTCTAGTCAA